CCAGAGGGAGGAGCCTCACTGAGCCAGAGGGAGGAGCCTCACTGAGCAGGAGGTTTGCACTGAAGAAACTTATGCTGAAAGTTAAAAGAATAATTAACGATGGTGATGGCCAAACCTCCATGTTTTAATTAATTTCTTGGTTTTTACTTTTGTTTTTACTCTCAATGGATACTTTTAAAGTAGGAAGCTTGAATGTAAATGGAGCCAGAAATGTTAAGAAGAGAGCATCTATTTATGAATTAAAAAATGAAAGGTATTGATGTTCTCTTCCTACAGGAAAAACACAGCGACATCACCAATGAGGCCGACTGGAGGAGGGAGTGGGGAGGGGAAGTCCTCTTAAGTCACAACGCAAACCTCAGTGGAGGAGTGGGCTTCCTCTTCTCCAGGTCCTTTACTCCAGTCTCACTGGAGGTCAAGCACATCATGGAGGGGAGGTTGTTTTTAGTTAAAGCACGGTTTGACATTTTTACTGCTGTTTGTATCAATGTGTATGCTCCAACAACCGAAGCTGTTTTTACAAAAAGTTAATGATGTTTTAAATTGCTGTGCCTCGGAGGATTCTTTATTCTTGGGGGGCGTTTTAACTGTACTGAAGATGCAGCTGTAGACCGCAACCACGCAGAGCCACATCCAGCTTCACAGCACGCTCTGAGGCAGCTAGTCCATTCTCATGGCCTGGTGGATGTGTGGAGGAGGATGCATGCAGACTGCCGACAGTACACATGGTCCCACCTCAGAGAGGGTAGGATCTCCTCAGCCAGGTTAGACCGTATTTATCTTTTTAAGCACCATTTTAATATTTTTAAAATGTGTAGTATTGTACCTGCTGGTTTTTCAGATCATTCGTTGCTTTTATCTAATGTGTTCAATAGGAACATTTTACCTAAAAGTGCGTACTGGCATTTTAATTCAGTCTTAACCTTTGATAAGAATTTTAGAGAGGTCCTTGTTATTTCTGGGGTGTTTTTAGGCAGAGGAGGAGTGAGTTCAGCAGTCTTAGGCAGTGGTGGGACCATGGTAAGATTGAGATTAGGCTCCTTTGCCAGCAGCACACCTTCAACGTCACCCGAGACATCACCAGATCTATGAAGGACCTGGAGACTGATATAGTGGAACTAGAGAGTTTAAGGGAGTCCACAGGAGATCGAGGACATATTGAAGTCCTCAAGATAAAAAAAATGGCTTTGGCCAACCTGTTAGACATTAAAGTTCAGGGTGCACTGGTCCGGTCCCGATTCCAGACCATCACAGAGATGGACACTCCCTCTAGCTTCTTATTCGGCCTGGAGAAGAAGAGTGGACAGAGGAGGGTAATCCACTGACTTTTAGATGACATAGGGCAGCCAGTTGTGGAACCAAGCCAGATCAGAAAGCGAGCTGTCAGCTTTTCCTCCTCCCTGTATACCAGTGAGTACAGGGAGGATGAAGCACTGACGGAGGGGTTCAATGGTGAACTACCTCAGGTCTCTGAGGAGACCAATGAGCAGCTCAACAGGCCCATAAGCGTGCAGGAGCTGAAGGCCACCCTGCAGGGCATGGTAGACAATGTCTACCTCATTGGTGATGTTTTGGAGGTCTGCAGCTCTTTGGGTATTAACACTGGTCTGATTTCTCTAGATCAGGAAAAGGCTTTTGATCGCGTTGAACACAACTTCCTCTGGAAAGTTATGAGGAAGTTTGGGTTCAGCGCTGGCTTCATAGCTAAGATCAAGGTGTTGTACAGTGAGGTTGAGAGTGTGCTGAAGGTAAACGGCAGTCTGTGTAGAGGGGTCCGGCAGGGTTGTGCTCTGTCCGGGATGCTCTCTGCACTCTCCCTGGAACCCCTCCTCATCAGAATACGCTCTAGCCTACAGGGGCTGGTTTTACCTGGTTTAATAGGAACATGATTTTATCAGCTTATGCAGATGACATCGTTGTTTTTATTAAGGACCAGAGGGGGATGCAGACCTTTTAACCAACATTGTGAAGGATTTTAGCATGGCATCGGCAGCGAGGGTGAACTGGAAGAAAAGTGAAGCCCTCGCTGTCGGTGAATGGCGTGACGGTCTCCCAGTTCTTCCCCAGAGCCTGGTGTGGAAGAGAAACAGATTCAACTACCTGGGAATCTATCTCGGACAAGAGAACATAGTCCAGAAGAACTGGGAGTACGTCATAGAGAAGATCGAAGGAAAACTTTCCAATGGAAGTGGCTGCTCCCTCAGATGTCTTTTAAAGGTAGAGTATTGGTTTTAAACAATCTTATAGCATCCCAACTGTGGCACCGTCTAACCTGTTTAGACCCTCCCTCAGGCTTTCTAGCCCACACACAGAAGAGAAGAGGTTGATTTCTTTTGGGAGGGTCTACACTGGGGGCCACAAGGGGTGCTGTTTTTAGCCAGAGAGGAGGGGGGACAGGGCCTCGTCCAGCTGGCCAGCCGACGGCCACTTTTAGAATTCAGTTTGTGCAAAAATATCTCACAGGTCCAGATGGTTTAGTGTGGAGAGATGTGGCCAGCTGCATTCTCAGATGTGCAGATAACCTGGGGCTGGATACTGCTCTGTTTTTAATTGATTCTAGTGTTTTAAAGGTAAGTGGGCTGCCTCCGTTTTATCAGGGTGTTTTTAAGTCTTGGGCCCTTTTTACTCATAAAGCCACAGTCTATGTGGGCACCTTTTATGCCGTGTTCACAGCAAACGCGAATTCATCGCGCAGCATATTCGCGTCATTCGCGCCGCAGTTCTCGCGGGGACTATTTGTGTTCATTCGCGCCGGAGAGGGGGCGGGGCTTATCGCCCTGAAAGCCGTTCAACTGTCCGCCATTTACCATGAAAAAAATAAGCTGTATTTCTGCTTAGTACGTGTTGTGGAAGTCACAGATATCCCGGGAAACTAAACGCCGTCATGTCTGGTTCATAACATTGTCCAGAGGAGCTCCATGGATTTTATCGAGCTGTGTTCACTGTGTCTAGTGAGCCACAGGTCGCTGTTTACTACAGCTGTATGAACACTAAATAAACTGATTGCTGTGATTTAACGGCAATAAACCGACAAAAAGAGACTCCGAAATAACTACGTAATGATGCCGATTTGTAGGCTACCTGTCTTCTCAATGAAGCGGATGGATCGGTGCTAGGCTAAGCTAACATTGTAGCAGCTCCACCAACACTCAGAATCACGTCATGTAGACGTAAATACGGCAGCGTCTATTCATTGTTTGTACCATATGGTTTACACACACACATGTATACACATAGTTTCTGTTGATATGAGGTATCATAGAGCTCTGGGTGAACACAGACGGCTACAGGATTTATTTCCTGA